GACTCCCATTGGCTGCAAACAGCAAACCGGAGCCAGAGGGAGCTGCAAGGCTCTGTGGCTACAGAGCCAGTAAGTGAACAAACTGGAGCAGCTCGGTAGCAGCTTTCTCAGAATGGATTCATGGAACACTTTGAGAGATACTGCTACAGACAACTGGGAGTCTAGCTGGGAGTCTACAGACAACTGGGAGTCTAGCTGATCATGAGTGAGGTCTTCTGTAAAGTGTAGGTGAGACAGCAGAACAGTTGCTCAGATACGTTGTGGAAAAGTAATCACCAGAGATGGTGCCATAACTATAACATTCATTGCATTATAGAATCATAGAACACTAGAATTTGGGAAGGACCTTGACAGGTCATCGAGTGCAGTCCCCTGCCCTCACAGCAGGACCAAGCAGTGTCTAGATCATACCTGGCAGGTGTCTGTCTAATGTGCTCTAAAATATCTCCAGGGATGGAGATTCCACAACCCCCCTAGACAATTTATTTATTGGGGACATGTTATCTGTGTCTATAGAACACAGCCATTTCCAACCCACAGAGTAGGCGAATGAAAGCAACTGACACTTAACAAGAAATAATTATTTCCTGTTTGTGCAAAATAACAGCATACACACTGTATTATAGTGTGTTATTTTCAATAAACATGTGTCAGCAGTCTGCTGAGTTGATAGATTGTGCTATATCAGTTACAGCTGCCAGAAAATAAATTTGTTTGTTCTCTAGAGTAGTACTGTATGTGAATGATTGATCTTCAAAAAGTGTTATTAGCAGTTAAATTATGGAACCTTTTGGCAGAGTGGTTGGAGATCAGCCAGAGATGCAGTGAAAGCATGCTGCCTGCTGTAATTAAATCTTTTATATCTTCTAATTATCTGTGAAAATTATACTTCCTGTCTCTCCCTTCCCCACTCCATTTAGAATTAACTGATATCCATTGTTTATTCCAGGTAACCAAGAGAGTCACCTTTCCATATGATTCATAGAAGTCTGCCAGTATTGTTTGTAGTTCAGTGTAGAAACAGATGTTACGGCATTAAATTCTGCTAAGTTTCCTCCCTCCTTCCCCACTTAAAACATGCCTATCTGTTTCAGGATTTTTCTGCCTATTTTCGGGTGGGAGAGGATCCATGTACTAAATAGAGGTGTATCATTATTATTTGTTTTATAGTAGCACCTTGGGGCCCTACTCATAGAGCAGGATACCCGTGAACTAGATGTTGTACAAACACAGAACCAAAAAGTTGATTTCTTGACTCTATAATACACGTTTTCTAATTCTTTATTCATATGTTCGTCTAGGGAGCTAAATTCTTGATATGCATCACCAATTTCATGAAAGGTTCCAGTAGCAATGAAGTTTGAAGAAAGCTAGACATAGCAGTAATTCTTTTAATTAGACAATTCCTGATCAAATATATACGTATACATATCTCTCTCACACAGCTTTTAAACTGTATTTTGGAAGAATTATTCAGCACCAGAACAAAAGCCTAATCTTTCTCCATGTAAAGGTAGTGAGAATAGACTTGAAGGGAATAGGCAAGAGTCCTAGCATAGTTTTATGCTTTTTCATTTAAAAAAAATTACAGCTATGTTCTTCCCATATTAGGCCTAACCAGAAGTTATCCTTTCACCTTAATCCTCTATTGCTTCTGCCTTTCAGTCTAAAGTCATGTATCTGCAAACAGACTTGCATATTCACCTTTGCAATCAGTGTCTTAGACCAGATCACAGCAGAGTGTGGAAGAAATGTGAAATACTTTTAATCACAAGATCATTGAGTGAATGGGGCTCTAATTCCTTTTGCATTTTTGTAGGAGTTCTTTCCAAGGGAGTCAAATAGTGGTTGTAGTTTGGCAGGGGTGGGGTGGCCATGGTGATGATGATGATGATCTCACCAAACTGAGGGTATGTCTACACTACAAAGTTAATTCGAACTAACGGACGTTAGTTCAAATTAACTTTCATAGGCGCTACACTAGCGCTCCGCTAGTTCGAACTTAATTCGAACTAACGGAGCGCTTAGTTCGAACTAGGTAAACCTCATTGTACGAGGACTAAGCCTAGTTCGAACTGACTAGTTCGAATTAAGGGCTGTGTAGCCCATTAATTCGAACTAGTGGGAGGCTAGCCCTCCCCAGCTTTCCCTGGTTGCCACTCTGGCCAACACCAGGGAAACTCGTCTGCCCCCCTCACGGCCCCGGACCCCATAAAGGGGCATGGGCTGGCTACGGTGCCCGTGCCAGGTGCAAGCCTGCCAGCACCCAGCTAGCAGACCCTGCACCTGGCACGGCTTGAGCCAGC